GGTTTTAAGAGAGAATGTGTATAAATTGTGTTCAATGTTTGCTCTCCTGGGACACAATTAAGGGCTAATCGTGAAATTTTTGTTTCAGGTTTTAAAAATGAAAGCACTCTCCAGGGAGGCTGGTGGTCCTGGGCATCTAGTGGATTCCTTTTCAGCCTTCTGGCATTTTAAATGGAGAGAGAAGGAAGGAGCTTGATCTGCCTTTATACGCTTTTAATTACAAATGGCTGGCTGGGCTGCGGCCTCCAGAGACTAGAGGGTGAAGCAGACACGTCAGGACCAGCTGCCACTCGGCTGGCAGCTCAATATCAACCTGAACATCCCCAGGCCCACCGGGAGTGGGGGTGGGGGTAGGGGGAGGTCGGGATCAGTTCAATGCAACGGTTGAATATCTAAACACATCAGCTACAGGCACCTGCCAATCACCAGACCAGATCTGTCAGTATAAGGAACAGGTCAGTTGTCTATGTTAGCAATCCCAGTGGAGCAATAACAGTGACGGCATAACTCAGACCGCCACTCTGGGCTGCTGCTGGAGGGAGCGTCTTAACTTCTCCTGGGGTCTGGTTCAATAAGAGCTGCGGGTGGTGATGGACGGCTCTCCGATCAGACAGTGGTGGTGATTGCAGGCTGAGTGCAGACTTCTTTTTAGATCAGCTCCTACACTCCTGAAGCCTTTTTCACTCCATATTAACATTAGATGGAGCAATGGGAGGGTGGTGTGCTGGTGCAGTGGTTAGTACAGCGAGAAGGTCCTGGGTTCGGATCCAGTTTAGGGCTTTTCTGTGTGGAATTTCCATGTTCTCCCTATGTCTGTGTGGGTTCCCTCCAGGTACTCTGGCTTCCTTCCACAGACCCATGCAAACACACAGGTCTGGTTAACTGTCAATTCTAAATTGGCTGTAGGTGTGAATGTGAGAGTGAACGGTCGTCTCTCTCTGTGTGTTGGCCCTGTGACAGACTGGCAACCTACCCAGGGTGTGCCCTGTCTCTCGCCCTATGACAGCTGGGATAGGCTCCAGCCCCTCCCCCCTGACCCCGAATTGGATAAGCAAGAGAAGGTGGACGGAGCAATGTGGATGGATCGCTGCAGAACAGCGACACAGCTCTTTGTCCCCACCGATTGCAAAGAAGTGAAAACATTGCCATCCTGTTTTATCTGCTTAAAACATGATTGTAAACAGGCAATATAGCTTAATAGCTGAAAATCTTTAGCAAGACACAAAGCAAGAGGCACATAAAAGAGATAAAGTTTGCACAGTGGAAGTGCAAAGCCCACTGCAATAAAAGCATTGCTAATTAAAATCACTCGTGTTGCAAGCAGCAGCTCAAATGAATTGTATTTATTGTGCCAAATATTAAAAAAACTTACACAGTGAGCTAATGAGCAGAAAACATTTAGACATACATGGAGACAAACCCTTTTCATAACAGGTAATAAAATAATTTAATGTAAATGGTTCAGGCTGCCTTCAAACTTTACCTGATGTGCAAAGCGTCTTTGTGTTAAACTCTATTCAACACAGCAAAACAAACAATGAAAAAAAAGACAAGAGTGTCTTTTCTGCCAAAGCAAGTAACCTAAGAAATGAAGTTGCTTTGTAGTCTTAAGCCGCTATCACGGAGACCCAGGATTTTCCAGGAGAGCATTATCAGGCAATATGAGTTCTTTTATTGCCTGTGGCGATACTTTAATAAGACCCAGCAAACCTGTGACCTGCGTTTGCAGCAGGAGAGGCGGTTGTAGAGGAGATTTAGCGACTCAAAGGGCATAGACATACCCACAGGAACCCCCACTTAATTCCCAGTCAGCTGGCCTGATATGCCACCACAGTGAAC